TTATTATTTTTGTTGAAAGGTATTAGCAGAATACTGGTGTCCTGATACTCCTATCACAGAATATGCGAAGCGTGAATCTATAAGATTTACACGTCTCTTTCAAAGTAAATTCAAAATTTGAATTTCTATTGCATACTCGTGTGCATGTGTTTAGGAATAATTTGAAGTATTAAACATCCTGTCACGACCCCTGTCTGCAGTGAGACGTGAATATACAAGTCTAGCCGAGTGTAGCCATACAATATGTCAAATATGAAATTCTATTAAGGGAATGGCTTTGCATCTTTGATTTTACATATTTCGCGTTGAACGCAACATTGAATAACTGTTTACATTTTGCTAACGACTGGTTACGGCAATTGTAATAAATTACTTCCTAATTCTGTCTCTATATATGTTGTTTTTTTATGTTTGTTTAAGTTTATTCCTCATTATTCGTAGCCATCTTGTCATCTTTAACATATACCTATATCTTTATAGCAATTGTGGTTGATTTTTTATTTTGTGGCACGAATTATGTGTCTCTCATGACTGTTAGAGACATATTACGTTTTTAATAATCATGTATTCTCTAATTAAAACTTTAAATTCGGTTAATTGTGCATGCGATATTCGGGAACTATGTTCTTAATGGATCTACAATATAAAATGTAGCTTTTTCCATTTGCAAGTTTCTAGAAATAATTGTTTCAGGCGCAGAAAACTGGTCAAGTCACTTTGTAAGCATAGATTGTTGAGTCCATAAAGAAGGAATGGTATGAGGAAAAATTATAAATATAGGTATTATTAATATGAATTCATTAGAAAGTATCTTCTCTTTGTGCATATTTTTTTAATAAATACTTTTATAATGTTTATTAGCATATTTCCAATCATATGTTTAACACATTGGAACCCCTCACTAATTTAAAAAATAACACAAGTACTCGGTAAATTGCGAACAGGTATACAATTTCTCTCTTACATTATAATGTGTAACAAATAGTTATAGTTCACAATTCTGACGCGATATGATGTATGTCCGTTACATCGCATTACCATAAAGCGCATATGTTTTCGAAGCGAGGGATATTAATCTATGCAAACTGGCCTTTGTGCTCCAAAGAGACAGGAAAAATTATGCATACATATTCATACTGATGTTTTAGTGACCTAGGTTTATTTTTTTGGTTGTCTAGTGATGATGGACATGTTATTTTCAAATGTTTAATAACCGGAGAAGGTATTATATTTTGAACGGATTTGAAATTCATATATTCATTTCAAATTTCTATAATTATGGCGATGATAGAGGTATAATACCTTTCGATAGTCGATATAGGTTCCAATCTTGCGGATTTGTATTCCTGACTTAAATAGTTGATAAAACATACTGTTATATAAACATATGTTATTTATGTATGTGCAATATTAGAATAGTCTCCTGAATCACTGCGCCTATTTGAAAAAAAAAATACCATTAAAAACATTATTCCTGATGCACTCGACTATATATATATATTGTTCAATTCCACTCTTAGTTACACAAATATAATAAGACATTAATTTTACTTTACATAAAAAGCCATTACGGATTCAGTAGACTTTCGTGTCGAATCGATGTAAATCAACGGAATTCGGAAGCCGATTCAAATTGAAGTGAGATGTTAGTTTTTTATATGCGCGTGCTCAACCGTGAGAGAATTTATGTACCTACAATCTTCTTCGTTATTTATTTTATAGTCAATTAATATTTAAAATATCCAATTGAATAAAATTGTCGCTTCGATGCTTAATTTGCAATACAGAAACAAATTTCTATCAATTTATCAACACGAAAAATTTACGAGAAATAATTTAAAGATATCGCAACTAGTTATCGTTTTCAGAAGTTCTTTTATCAGTCAAAATAATATGACTGTACCGTCGATCGATACTTGGAATAATTTTTTGTGAATAATTCTGAATGTGTATCGACAGTAGAAGTTGCAGTTAAACGCGCTCAAATTTTATTATATAAAAAAAAAGAGAATCATATATACTACTATTATTCACAAAAATTCACACATTAAAAAAAACTATTATTAACAAATAAATATTCCGAGTATCTAACCGTTGTTTGAATTAGATACCACTTTCTAGGAAATGTGCCGGCAGCCGTGAATAAGTCGCAAAACTATTATAAATTTTATTCATAAATTTTTTTTTTTATGTAATTCATCTATAGATCTTACATTAAATTTGTTAATATTTGTACATTAACGCCGGTTTCGGTAAATTGTAAAATTTCTGTTATAGACTACAATATACTTATGATTTTTTTGCTCTGTAATCTCTAAAGTGTGGGTATCCGTTCTGTTCAATTTTTTTATTTTATTATTGTATTTATCAACCATATCTATCTATAAAAAAACAGATAAAATACTTAAGTGGTTATATAATATCAATATCCTGTTTATCTATTAAATTAATGCAGTCTGCAGCGTTGGTTGTATTACGATTAGACTTAATTAAAGTGATCAGACTTTTTCCAAAAAAAAAGGGACGTATAGGAAAATTTATTTTATTTTTACTTCACATTGACATCACCGCTAGAAAATCAGAACTAGGATACCAAATTTTTTGTCCTGTACGTATTCTTGTTTTTTATTTTTTATATTCTACTTATTAGTCCTGTTAATTTTACAATGTTACTATAAAATAGGTTTATGAAAAAAATCATATCGATAATTAATACATTTATTGAAAAAAAGTAAAAAAATAAAATAAAAGCTATATTTATGGCAATTTTTTTTTCAAAAACGATAATATTTGTTCCACCTTTTGATATTTTATAGTATTTTTCTCATGCTAGTAAATAAATATATATATTGCAGTGATATGACATTCTCGAATGTGACTGATAGGCAGATTTCTCCGTATAAATACTATGATAATTCAATGTCATTAATTTGTTTACTTCGTATCTATTTTATATTAAATGACTATTTGCTTTGAATCATAGTACTCAAACCAGAGAAGTAGCGAAAGTTAATTATTAATTCCCATCAAAATACTTACTTTAGTTCCTGGATGCGTTATGCAATCTAAGCCGTATGTTGCATGAACCTAGTATGTTGCAGAGGAACGTTTATTTAATGCAGACATACGTTTTCTAATCTAATTAGCATCTGTCGTCCAGTCTATAAAATATAGGCATTACCTGGCCACAGCGGCTACATTTCCAGCCTTTCACTGTAAAGTTCATCGTATGACTCATCTACATCTTTGTCGTTGGATAGCATACCTTCAATGGCTAATAAAAATACTTATATTTGAACTTGAATAACATTAGAAGTATAAATCGAGCCTTGTTATCAAATAATAGTTAACAGTTAAAAACAGTTAGAAAAGTATCTTATTAAGTAACAGGACGAAATAGGCATTATTAAGTTACTATGAATACAATATTATTTTTATGATGTAACTAGGTCAAACATTATCCTCAAATATAAATCAATTAAACTCAAATAAAGTAGATTAGTAGTTCAATTGTTATGTATTACATAGTATTAATAGTTTGTTTATGTATTATGTTGGCTTTATAAGTTGTGACTTCATTACAAAAATCCTCTTCTCCTTAAACAGTATTTCCGTTTGATAAAACTACATTCGAATATGTCCTAAATTCTGACTTAGCGAAAGTTTTTTTGACGTAGAACAATTGTTATTTTCAGAGAAACAAAAGATCTTCCAAGTTGCTACTCGCGTAAATAATATTACTTTCTATTCAAATATAGAAGATTATTATTAGCTAATGCATGATGAATATATTGCTTGAATCTGTTGTTAATATTCAGTGTAAAAAGTATGGGACTCCTTTGATATCTTGTTTTATTGTAATGTTATATTATTATACTTAAGTAATCGTACGTTTGTGTCCGATGTAATATTAATTATCAGATTTATATTTATTATATACGAGCTGTGATTGAAACAGGTTTTTATCATTGATTTTACTAATTATGTATAATCTATACTTTTGAATATATTTTTACTTTTACCAAAGATAGAGTTCATACTAAGACAGACAGTACCTCTGTCACACCTTTTCGGTCGCCAAGCAGCTTTGTGATCTGTACTTCGTTTGTAGATTGAGATATAACAGTGGAATTACTTTGTGTAGGGTAAATGTATATTATATTAGTTTTCTACAATGGTTACAAATGGGGAATATAGGTCTTCTGCTGGCTACATATGGGGAATATTCCCCAGACCTGCTATTCTGCCATTCCAGTTTACCCTTCTGAACAAATATTATAAATGAATTTATCATTTTTGTTGTACACTCTATTTTTGTTATAACTTACATTTCTTGTACGTAGATAATGTATATTAATCTGTTGAGTACGGACGCTGTGCTTGTATGCCACAGATATCGTAGAATCGCTTTCGCACTGACGGTTTGTCTACTCAAATCGCAACAACAAACCAGTCTACGGCGTTAATGCGTACGTACTTTGCAACTTTACCGAATGCAGTTAAATCTTTTATCTCTACCAAATCGACTGTCGTAAATCCAAACCACGGTCCATTGTTGCAGTACACTGTACTTATATGGGAGCGAGCAAAATAAATCACGAACAAAACCATATCGGCACAATCGTAGACTATCTCTGGTCGGATCGACCGCGGGGGGCTGCTCTGAGATACAGCGATATTACGCTATTGAATTAGCATTACCTCTGATCCCGATATTGTTCAAGGTACAGCAATATTTCATAATTCAGGGCTGCATTATTTTAATTTACAAGTGACGCGGAGTGGGCGACGGTGGTATGTCGTTGGAATCGTGCAAGATCTTGCATCGTGATTACATTAGATGCAATCTTTACATCTCCGGTAAGCTCTTGGCTCGCGTGGCGCCCGCGGAACGCGTCATCGTATACAGAATACACACGGCAGCTACCTGTGTATGCACATGAATTACACATGCCTTCGGACCTAGTCATTAAAATGACAACGCTTTGTTTTTGTTACAGGTGGCACAGCAACCTGAATTACCTTTACATCGGCAGCTCCGCCTATTAAATGTAAGTTGATATGAAACTGTCTTTGTTCGAGAGATTGTTTACATCTTTTAATAGGGTCATTGATTTCATCATTATATATTTATTATTGAATAAATGATGAAATATCTTACTGTTTAAACACTTCTTTATATGAATACACGATCAATGTTATGCGATACGAATCCTGACAGTCAGACAACAGTACATATTATGTCAAGCTCCTTAAGTGTATCGTTATTGATTCAATGATAAATTCATCGATGCTGTCGAATAAAATCATTATTCAATTATATCTCGCATGGAGCACGATTGTCACTTGACCGGACCGAACTCCAGAAATCAAATCAGACGTTAACCTCAATAATGGTATCGGGGATCTATTGCCGCGGGTGAATCGGTCGGATATTGTAGATATTGAATAATAATTGGTGCACACGAGACGTTCCGGGCGATCGCGGTGCGGCGGCGGGCGTCACGATAGAGATGCTATCTTGAGAGCGTGCCGCATCCATCAGCTTGGTTCGATGTATCTGTGCCGGTATCGGAACTAGCGATAACCATTGTCTTACCGAACGATTATATCGGCGAAATTTGTGCTTGCCTCCGACGTTTGTCTTTTGCCGCAAATGAGTCGGATAATGGGCGACGGCGCATAAAAGGAGCGCATTTGTGCTAAATCTTGCCTAGTCATTAATTTATCGTGGGAACACAGAGATCGGTTTTGTAGACTTTAATCAGAATATATCATCAAGGATATGAAATTTGTACAAATAGATAAACAAACTATCTTCCATCGATCTTGTCAATTTTGTCTTGAATCATTGCAATTCAAGAAAATTGGATCCAGTAGTCATAATATTCCATAAATATCTCAACAGTCGATCGATTTATCAGAATACGTCCGGATATTGAATGATGATGAGAATATTGGTGAAACAAATGGAGCTTACTTACATTTTGAACTTTTTTTGACGTTTGAAACATTCTTAAAATTGATAATTGTACCTAAACCAAGAATAGAATAGAATAGAATAGAAAATCATTTATTCAAATAAACTTAATTTAAGCACTTTTGAATAGTCATAACAATTTGTTTTTTATCTACCACTCGTTCGGAAAGCTGTCTCATCACAAGAAGAACGACCAAGAAACTTGTGTGTTGCTCTTTTAAATAATCCTTGTAAGTTTACATTTACAAGTCGAAACGTGTGAATACAAACTACCAACAAGCACTAATTTTTTGGGTCAAATATAACCTTGCAATAAGATTAAATCAGTCGTAGTGATAAGAGCAGACCAGTCCCTACAAGCAGCACTCGTTCACGAGTATGACGGATGAGCCAGCCATCACTGCGCTCGACCATATTTTAGGGAGCCCATTGACCCGGCCCACCACGCCGCCACATGTCTGGACATTTTAGTGAGCATGACTACTCATTCCACACGACCACGTCACAGCTACAAAAGTTACTATATGGTAGTTACAGTATTCGCACTTTACATAAGGATGCATGCGGCAATCAATACAAAAGCCGCTACGCTATCATATATCAAGAAAGCAGTATGAAAATTAAAATTATAACGTTGTCCGCAAATAAACTTATTCTTGCTATATATTGCTATCATCTATAAATTCATCTATCTTATAATAGGCTTTTTTACATAACATTTGTTTAATATAAGATTTGAATTGCCTCTCTGTAAGATTTAGCGTAGACTCTGGCAGTTTATTATAGAATCTTACGCAATTACCATAAAATGAATTACTAACTTTGTGTAGACGGCATTTAGGTAAAATTAGCTTATTTTTATTGCGTAAGTTTCTACTTGTATAGTCTTTAAGTTTCTTGAAACTATCTAAGTTTTTCCTTGTATACATAATATTTTCATAAATGTACTGTGAGGCAACGGTGAGGATATTTGATTGTTTAAAGCATTGACGTAATGACTCTCTAGAACCCATACCATAAATAGAACGTATGGCTCTCTTTTGTAAAATAAATATAGTATTTATATCGGCAGCTTTACCCCATAGCAGTATGCCATATGACATAATGCTATGGAAATAACTAAAGTATACAAGTTTTGCCGTCGCCACGTCTGTTAATTGCCTTATCCTTCTAATTGCATAAGCAGCAGAACTAAGTCTACTGGCTAATTTTGAAATATGGGGCCCCCATTGTAACTTCGAGTCCACTGTTATTCCTAAAAAAACTGTATCATTAACAAAATTTACTATTTCATCATTAAGCAATAGCTGCGTATTTACTTGTTTTACATTAGGCAGCGTGAATTTAATGCACTTAGTTTTGTTGGAGTTCAATAATAGATTATTACATGTGAACCAATTTAGTATAGCAGAGATAGCATAATTTACATCGTCAAATTGATTACATTGGCGACCAATTTTAAACACCAACGAAGTATCATCCGCAAATAACACTATATCTGCAAATTTCTCTACCATGTAGGGAAGGTCATTTATATAAATTAAAAAGAGAAATGGGCCTAATATTGAACCTTGAGGAACGCCCATTTTTATATTAGTTCCCTTAGACTTTACACCATCAATATCTACAGTTTGCACCCTATCCTCTAGATAAGTTTTCATTAGACTTAGGTCATTATCTCTAATACCATAATATTTGAGCTTGTACAAAAGTGTTTCATGATCTACGCAATCAAACGCCTTCGACAAGTCACAAAAAACGCCGAGAGCATCCTGTGAGTTTTCCCATGATTCGAATATATGTGTAATAAGCGCTACACCTGCATCAGTAGTAGACTTGCCGGCAGTGAAACCATATTGTTGACTGTGAAGCAGTCCGTTATCCCTGAAGTATTTTAACATTTGGTTAAACATAATCTTTTCAAATACTTTACTTAGAACTGGCAAAATAGAAATTGGTCTATAGTTGCCTAGCTCAAATCTATCTCCAGATTTAAAGAGTGGAATTAATTTGCTAAATTTCATTAATTGAGGAAACACGCCATTATCAACACATTTATTGAAAATAGTAGCTAGATAAGGAGCAACAATATCTATGAATGTACTAACTACTTTAACTGACATGTCCCAGAGATCTTCCGTATTTTTTAAATTTAACTGTTTGAATATTTTTATGACATGAAAAGGGCTGACATGTGAAAATTTAAATGTTAAAGAGCAAGGGCTGACATTAGCCTCCAGTAATGTTTTTGCTCGAATTGGAGATGAGTCTAGAGAAGATGTAATATCAATCGGAATATTAGCAAAAAAATCTTGAAAAATATGAACTATATCTTTTGTTGCTGTTATTAACTTATTGTCATAATTTAATGAGAATTGATTGCAGGCTTTTTCAGACCGTCCAGTTTCTTTGTTTATAATTCCCCAGATGGTCTTAATTTTGTCAGAGGACTGATTAATTTGTTTATTTATAAAATTAGATTTAGCTGCAATACAAACTTGTTTGAAAATTTTAGAGTAATTTCTCACATAAGTCGTAAATTTGTCATCAAATCTATATTTTTTTTGATCATATAAATCAAATAAAATGTTTCTACTTTTAAGTATTCCTACTGTTGCCCATTCTGTAAATTTAGATTTAACACAATATTCTCTTTTCTTGAAAATATTCTGGTATTCTTTTGACAAAAGACTAATTAACTTGGTGTAAAGAATATCAGGATTATTAAGACTGACAGATTGTAACTCTAAGTCTAATTTATATTTAACCGTGCTTTTGTATTTATTAATATTGTAAGCATTTATTTGTCTTTTTGATCTTTTATTATTGGTATTTTTTTTAGTCTGATTACTAAACTTAACAACTTGACCACAGTGATCCGAAGGAAGTTTATTTATTATTAATTTTTCAATATACTCACAGTTACAAAAAACATTGTCAAGACAAGTAGCAGTCGTAGCGGTTACACGAGTGGGTTCCTGAAAGACATTACTCAAATTAAAAGACTGAAATAAACTAATAATTTTTGTACATGTGGGTGTATCACAAAGAATATCAACGTTAAAATCACCACACACAATGATTTTTTTACTGCTATTAAATACTTTTTTTAATATATCCTCCATCACCTCTTCAAATACATTATAATCACTATTAGGAGGCCTATAAACACATATAAGTATATAATTATCTAGTTCTATACATGAGATTTCTGTACAACACTCAATAGAAAGTCTAACAATGTCAGCACGTTCCAAGAAGTTTATGAAATTGTCTGACTAATATCCTTATAGTATATTTGTTAAAACATTTCATGATAGAAGAGAATTTTGCAATATGTCGTTTCGCTCTCACAAATATAAACAACCTAAAATAGTATAAAATATACTTATGTTATATTATTTATTAAAAATCTACAAGTTTTAATGCCGTACCGTCTACTCCAGAATGGAGTGATTATGAGTAACCGTTATTTACATTTTTAGTCATTAGGTAACGGTTTTATTTTTACGCTAAATAAAAGTAAAACAAGAAAAATAATATATCTCGCTTGTGATACTGCTAGTTCTAAATCCGGCGTTTGGTCTATAACGTATTTTTAATGGCTCGACTCACGAACTCTACAGAGCAAGGTGCAGGCATTTAAGCGCAGTGCTGATTGTGGTCGAGACCACTTAATAGCATTAGCATCATTGTCTTTGGGTCATTAATAAGTCGGCGGACAGTTCTATTGGTCTGACCATAACTGTCCTGGCCGAGATCTCGCCCAGTGTCACGAATTTGAACCTTAATTCTCCCTAGGATAGTTATAACTACCGACCTATCCCCGGATATCGAGACAGTTACGGGCCCACACAATGCCTGATTATAATGTTGAAGTACAATGCATTCAATTGTAAATTTTATATTTCAATACATAGTGGCAATAATTTACATAGGTTATGTTAAGCCGTGAATACATTTATTTTATTTAATGCTCTGTCATTTTCTTTTAGAAGTAATGCTCTCTAGATCTTTAGTTTACTTTGCGAGTTTAGTATCACCTTGTTCATCGTCTGTCGTTACGTAATC